AGGTAAATTTCACTAAACTTGATATTGTATAGGATTATCTGTAGTTATCTTTCGTTCTTTTTAAGTAAAAGAGATTCAAAGCCTAAAACTGTCGGCGGCTTGGAAGACTTTGTCGAAGAATCTTCCAAGAACAATACTAGCCCCTGGGGGTGGTGATGAGTTGTGTACAAAATTCCTAAGTGGGAGAGTATACTCACGCAAAAAAACAAACAAACAAACAAACAAAAAAAACAATGTAGTGCATTTCGATTCGATTTCACTGCATGGTTTTTATTATGGGAGAAACTATCTTCATCTCGAACAAAAAATAATTGAAAAAATTTTCCCCGATCTTATTTTTACCTTTCAGTTTCATTCAAATTGTTCTCCCTGTGCATTCCGCGTATCGGGAGCTCCGCTTTTAGGCAGTGCCTAAATGTATATATTACAAAGGAAAAAAAAATTGTAATGAAGAATTAGGATCAGAAAAATATCTTAAATTGATGACACATTTGGTTTAACGTTCAGGGCCTTCATTTCACAAGTTTAGTTGGTTAATGATCTCCAGCCAATTTTCTCTCGCTGATGATACCTAATCATTTATTTTCTTAATTTCATTGCGGTAAAAATACGGTTCTTACCAAAACCCAAACTCTTCATGGATAACCAAACATTGTCATGTAAAAGAAGTAAAAGTAAGCTTAGGTTTTTCTCACCTTTACTTTTAAGCAGTTTTCTATTCTATCTTTATATGCCGTGATAATTTGTTCATAAAAAGATTATAGGAAATCTCCGAAATTCAGATATACCCGTATTATATTTTCCGACTCTAAGTAAGTGAGTAAGTAATTTATTCATGTAGACACACAGGAGCTTACAATAAAGTCTCGTCAGAACGTGCACGTGCTAAACTAACATCTATAAAATACAATATAGATTAAATTATAGATCTAAAAATATTATGTAAGTGTAGAAATCTAMGTAAAAATATACTGAACCACCCCACCCCACCCCACCCAACCCCAACCAACCCCACACCTACTCAATCTATAATTTAAATTCCCCTAAATATACAAAAAATACATAATAGAAATCCATGTTCAATTAAAACCACCCCACCCTACACCTATTTCGTGAAACCATATAAACCTAAATTAAAGAAAGAAATGTTATGAACTGCTTCAACAACCTTAAAATTATCATAAATGTA